TCGAACATCCGACAGAAAAGGTATAAAATGCTCGCAGAGAGTGAATGGCATCATGACATGAGTCAAAAAGGAAAGTCCCTAATCTTTAGTATTCAGATCCCAAAGGAACCAGTCAGTGTTTGAACAAGCTAAAGGTAAGAATGCAAAAATGAAGGTTACACTTTCAGATTCTGTTTTGATGACACGGTTGTATTAGTCATAGGAAGAACACAAGACATTTAAAACCATTAAATAATGTTTGGATGTCACAATGATCTATTCTCTGTCGTTGTGACAGAAAGCTCTGAAATTAGTTCAAAACAGTGTTAATGTGTCATGACTAATGACTCTCTCTCTCTCTCTCTCTCTCTCTCTCTCTCTCTCTCTCTCTCTCTCTATATATATATATATATATATATATATATATATATATATATATATATATGGGGGAGGAACTCAATGGGGGTGTGGCGTACAACACTAGAGGCCAACTCCAAGCCCATAGCACAAGTCACCATCAAGTGCGGGATCTACCAAGGAGATGCTCTGTCCCCACTGCTGTTCTGCATAGGCCTGAACCCCCTCAGTGAGATCATTAACAAGACTGGCTACGGATACCGACTACAGAACGGAGCAGTTGTCAGCCACCTCCTGTACATGGATGACATCAAGCTGTATGCCAAGAGTGAACGAGACATCGATTCACTGATCCACACTACCAGGCTATACAGCAATGACATTGGAATGTCGTTCGGACTGGAGAAGTGTAGCCGGATGGTAACAAAGAGAGGGAAGGTAGTCAGAACTGAGGGGATTGAACTACCAGAAGGCAACATTGCAGACATAGAGGACAGTTACAAGTACCTGGGGATCCCACAGGCGAATGGGAACCACGAAGAGGCCGCTAGACAAGCTGCAACCACCAAGTACCTGCAGAGGGTCAGGCAAGTCCTGAGGAGTCAGCTGAGCGGTAAGAACAAGATCCGGGCCATCAACACGTACGCCCTGCCCGTGATCAGGTACCCTGCTGGGGTAATAGGCTGGCCAAAGGAGGAGATAGAAGCCACTGACATAAAGACAAGAAAGCTCCTTACCATGCATGGAGGGTTTCACCCCAAGTCCAGCACCCTGAGGCTGTACGCTAAGCAGAAGGAAGGGGGCCGGGGACTGGTGAGTGTCAGCACCACAGTCCAGGATGAGACAACGAACATCCAAGAATACATTGGGAAGATGGCCCCAACTGACCGAGTGCTCAGTGAATACCTCAGGCAGCAGAAACCCAAGAAAGAGGAGGGAGACGAGGAACCATAATGGAAGGACAGGCCCCTGCACGGTATGTACCACCGGCAGATAGAGGAGGTGGCTGATATCCAGAAATCCTACCAGTGGCTGGACAAAGCTGGACTGAAAGACAGCACAGAGGCACTAATCATGGCAGCACAAGAACAAGCTCTGAGCACAAGATCCATAGAGGCTGGGGTCTATCACACCAGGCAAGACCCCAGGTGCAGGCTGTGTAAAGATGCCCCAGAGACAATCCAGCACATAACAGCAGGGTGCAAGATGCTAGCAGGCAAGGCATACATGGAACGCCATAACCAAGTGGCCGGCATAGTGTACAGGAACATCTGTGCCGAGTATAACCTGGAAGTCCCGAGGTCAAAATGGGAGACGCCCCCAAGGGTGGTGGAGAATGACCGAGCTAGGATCCTGTGGGACTTCCAGATACAGACGGACAAAATGGTGGTGGCTAACCAACCGGACATAGTGGTGGTAGACAAACAGAAGCAGACGGCCGTAGTGATCGATGTAGCGGTTCCGAATGACAGCAACATCAGGAAGAAGGAACACGAGAAGCTGGAGAAATACCAAGGGCTCAGAGAAGAGCTCGAGAGGATGTGGAGGGTGAAGGTAACGGTGGTCCCCGTGGTAATCGGAGCACTAGGTGCGGTGACTCCCAAGCTAGGCGAGTGGCTCCAGCAGATCCCGGGAACAACATCGGAGATCTCTGTCCAGAAGAGCGCAGTCCTGGGAACAGCTAAGATACTGCGCAGGACCCTCAAGCTCCCAGGCCTCTGGTAGAGGACCCGAGCTTGAAGGATAAACCGCCCACAGGGGCGTGCTGGGTGTTATGTTTAACATAAATGTAAAAATGGAATTTGTTTTACAGACACTGGTCATGACAATTTAGTATCATACACCAGATATTTTCTGAAATAAAATATTCAAGTAGAAGTTTCAGCTACAGTATTAAGAGCTTTATTTGCTTTATACAAAAAAAAAAAATGTTTTTGCCAGTAAAAATATAATTGGAGTTCAACACTGTAAGCCAAATATGTGCTTGTTAAAAGTAAAACAGTAAAACTGTGTCGCTTAATGTTCACAATCACTCTACATTTCTGCCTCCCCTAATATATTCTACAACAATCCAGCTGGTTCCTCACTTACTGAAATATTTAGATAACATACTCACCTGATGATGGCACTAGATCCAAAGACAATGCATCACAAAAGTTACAAAAATAATCTTACGAAGAATCACTGCAGAAATCCTATATATCTGTGCATGCTCACAAAGACAACATGCAAATATACAGCATAATTTCATTTGAGTGAGTTGAGTCTTTTATCGAGCCAAGTATCAGAGATCAATCAAAGATTAAAGAGAGTAGGATTTTTTCTTCTTCTGTGTAGTAATAGACTCAAATCAATAAAACTGTGCAAAACAGAAATTGGATCAGAAAGAGTTGTAAATCAGCCACAGAGAGGGTCAGTTAATGTGATTATATTAGCACAAATCAATTGTGTCTATCAGAAGACAAAAACCAAAAGGACAGTAAAAAGGCACAAAGTCTACAAAGATTAAAACAAAGAACAACAACAACAAAAACAAAACATGAAGCGCTATGGTGAAGCAGACAAATCAAACTACTGAAAAAGATATGCAGGAAGGAACACAAATACATCCAAAGAGGTCAAAAGCAAAAAGACAACAAAGAGAGTAATGTGCTTTTAATGTGTCAACAGGGCCATTGTCTCATAACCTGACAATCATTACAGTCTGCAGTCTATAGATTGGTGGACTAATGACTTGAATGCTGCATCCTCTATTGCATTAGCAGTTACCACACAAGCAGAGAGCTAAATGTCAAAGTGCTTTTCAGGGTAAAACTACAGCCTATTGTGAAGGCTGTGTTGAAAACAACAGGATAAGATAAAAGACATGTCATACATGTTTTAGCCAGGCATCTTTTTTGTGTGTTAAGTACACAGCCACTAACAGCTCCAACATCATTGTGAAGTTTGCGGACGACACTACAGTGGTGGGTCTTATCACCAACGGTGATGAGACGGCTTACAGGGAGGAGGTCAGCGCCCTGACCCACTGGTGTCAAGACAACCATCTCACCCTCAACGTCGCAAAGACAAAGGAGTTGATAGTGGACTTCCGGAGGTGCAGAGAAGTACACACCCCCATCACCATCAACGGCGCTGCTGTGGAGAGAGTGAGCAGCTTCCGGTTCCTTGGAGTACACCTGGCTGAGGATCTTACGTGGTCAGTACACACAAACAAAACAGTGAAGAAGGCGCAGCAGCGCCTCTTCTTTCTCAGGAGACTGAAAAGATTCTGCATGAGCCCCCGCATCCTCAGGACCTTCTATCACTGTGCCATTGAGAGCATCCTCACTGGATGCATCACCACCTGGTACGGCAACAGCACCGCCTACAACTGCAAAGCTCTCCAGCGAGTAGTGCGGTGCTCTGAACGGATAATTGGAGGTGAGCTTCCCTCCCTCCAAGACATCTACAGGAAGCGGTGCCTGAGGAAAGCGGGGAGGATCATCAAGGACTCCAGTCACCCCAGCCATAAACTGTTCAGACTGCTTCCATCAGGAAGGAGGTTCTGCAGCATCCGGTCCCGTACCAGCAGACTGAGAGACAGCTTCTTCCATCAGGCCATCAGACTGCTGAACACGTCATAAACACCTCAGCTTCACTACTGGAACTTTAACATTAGGCACTCCATACTGTATATAAATGCCACTTGTTTTGCACATATTCAACTCTGTATATTTTATATATTTTATTATTATTATTATTATTATTATTATTATTTTTTACTATTTAATTTGTAAAAATGTGTATATATACACACACACACACACACACACACACACACACACACACACACGTAGGAAAATATTTAGTATACACATCCAGAAATGCATACACTATTATATATTGTACATATATTTATTAGTTTCAGGTTGGCCATTCTTGTATTTTGCTCGTTTGTGTTGTTGTGTTTGCACATCTCTGTTGCTTGTGGGGCTCGCACACAAGAATTTCACTCGCATGTGCTGTACCAGTGTGCCTGCACATGTGATGTGACAATAAAAGTGATTTGATTTGATTTGATTTTTGCGTGAGTGGACCTTTAAACAAACAGTAATTAAGCCATTAACAGGCCAACATTGTCAAAAAAACAAAAACAAAACATAAATACATCTAAAATGTACAATATACAAAGCTGTGCAAAGTAGGCTGGTAGTGATATCCTGTACTGTACAGACAAATGTTGAACTATCAATGCAACATATGCTCACAGCTTTAAAATAAATATATAATCCATTCACTGAGCGCAGTCTTTATCCCACATAACGTCCCGCTCCATATCGTGCCACAGTTTAAACAGGTCAGGCACAAGTGACTTAAAGCTCATTGATCAGCGCGGCTGTCATTCTTAGTTTGACTGTACTGCCCCTTAAAGATCACATTGGCCGTCAGGGACGTCAGTGAAGCAGTGCTCCTGCTGTAATAGGGCACTCGCTTGTTCCAGGTCAGTCCTGTTGGAACCGCCCCACTGATCACAATCTAGATATCCCATTGGCCAAACGGTCATCCATCGACCCATGTACAGAAATATGACGTCGGGATTGGCTCAGGTGGACTTCGGTCACAAAGACAGCTAAAGGTAGTTGGTCAGGGTAGACGTCAATTAACTCTCTATTGTCCGTGGATTGGTGCAACAGCGCGGGCGGATTCCTCCATGGGTTCGGTCTGCAAGGCTCGCGGAGAGCGAATGTCGTCATGAGCGGTGGGTAGGAATTAAAACATTGGTGTTTATATTACATTCTACTTCGTAAAACATTATATTTGCGTTGAAGGGAAAGTACTAATCATGCTGTGGTACAAATAACTATGTTTTAGGGGTGTTCGTGCGGTTGTATGTACCAAAATAAGCAGTGCACTTCCGGCAAAGAGCTCCCTTTTTCTGTAACGTTATCAAAGAGAGTTTGACTTGCTAGCTACGCGTCAGCTAGCCAAAATGCTACTGGAAGCTATGTAGCTGGTCCTTTACTTGTTTCTGCCCCCAAATCGATTTGTCCATTTCCACCACATATGAAACCCCACAGCAATACACCGACATATTTTCATGTTGCACCCATTCCCGTCTCGCCTCATTTATTTTTATCAAAGCAAACCAGCACATATATAAGCTAGTCGATAGACATTTGAGTCTGCCTCAGTTGAGTCAGTAGCACTAGCTAGCTTGGTGGCTAACGTTAGCTGCTGTTGCTCTGCAAGCCAACCTAACAGACTGTGTTGCATGGCGGCGCTATTTTGAGGCCGCACTTTTCCCCCCATTTGTGTTATTTGCAGGACTTAAAGTCACACTTGCATAACTGATGGGAAGTTCTGTTCTCTGTTGCTATCACCAATCCAAAATGTGTCAGAATGGAGAGATTAGTGGCTCGCTCAGCAGGCTGAGATATCCCCGAGTGAAAGTCTGTTGCTTTGGTAGTCATGTTCAGACGTTTCGATTAACAGCTGCATTTTATAATGCTTTTACTAGATGAGGCAGGCAGCTCCAACAGAGGAACTCCTTCCTGTTTGTACAGCTGATCACCAGCCACGACACAGAGATGAGTTTATTGTGTGTCAGGCTTAAGTTTACTGTCGACAGATGAGCTGGCAGATACAGACGGCACAGTTTGTAGAAAAGAGGAATTTGTACTTCAGGCATTTCCTCATAACTAGCAAGTTATTGTCTGACGTCGGCATTGTATGGAATGCTTTTTTATGGAATATTATTACACTTGTGGTGTCAGGCACTGGAATGTTGGTGACAGATCCAGTGCATTGGTTTTGGAGTGAGGCTGTCCTAGGTCAGGATGCCTAACTGGAATGAGATCAGGGTGCCTTGCATGTCTGTTTTTTGTTCCTTAGAGTTGTTTTTATTTGTATTTTAGTGGCAGGGTGTGTTGTTCTGCAGGGTGATGTCAAAGGTGTGGCCTGTGTTCTTGGTGTGCAACAAAGTTAGTCAAAGTACCCACACGAGTACCAGGAACTAAAGTTTCACTGCAGAACCTTGAATTGTAGCACATAATGGCAGTGCTTTTAATGTTGTTAGTGATGGGTGTATTGCAACATCATTTTCCTCAATAAAAATGTAAGAGAAGTTCAATAAATGATCATTGTAATACTTGTGCATTTTTGTGTTTTACGTGTGTGGACAGAAATGCTGTGCAAAGGGTGAAGACAAGAAAGATCACTGAACTACATAAGTTCTTGAAGAAAGCTGCATTTGCACTCTTACAAAGAAACTAAGTTGTTTCTCTGCAAACTGTGGTGAAGGTACATGCTTTCAAAGACAGGCAACCACAAACCTGTTTCATAATTTATAACACCTGTTAGAGCAGGCAGAGAATAACTAAGCCCCAAACATTACAACTCCAAACAAGTGTTGGTGGCAATGTTATTGCAGTATGTGTTAATTTACATATACACACTTGTGCAATCATTTTTTTATCATGATGAAAGGACACCGCTCTAATTCATCTTACTTTGTTTTATACATTTATATAAAATATGGCCATTGGCTTACAAATCTGCATGTTGCAGATCTATGATGATGAATCACTTCTTTATCATCATCCTGTGTATTTGTCACAAATATCGGGACAGCCTGAAGAGTGATCTGTGGCTACCATGTGGTCATATATCTTATCTGCTGGTTGAGTTCAGGTGTTTTCCAGCTTAGATATGTAGCTCAACAGGGGTTAGGGGACAGTACTGGACTACTGTCCCAGTAGTGTTTATCGTTTTACATTTGTCATTATTGTTAATAGATGTTAAAAATGCCTGCGAGTATTTCTGTTCTATAAAATCCCAAATTAAAATATTTGAATCTGTCACAGATCCCTTGGCTTTTAAATTGCATATTTGTGTGTTGTTCTTGAATTTATATAAATTATTAAAAAAAGTGGAGATTGTATCGTGTGCACTAGCTGTGTTGTAGTTCAAGCAGTAATGGATAGTAAAACAGCTTGCATTGCTTTATCCACAGTTCCACAGCAGTTCTGTTTGACAATAACAGCATCGACCTATTTTGGCCATTAGGCTGCTTTGCTTGGCTCTCAAGATTTATCCTGCTCTTAAACTGCTGCTGGGCAGCCTGCCCTAAATGTACTTATGCTAACTGTTGAAATGGAAATATAATATGCTCAATATATTTACTGTCTTTTTCTCGTATAATATTTTTGAGCGCAGTCCAATGTATTTTTTTTTTTGCTCAGAGTATTTGACATGTGGCCAGTAGACTGACATTTGCTATTAGAACACACACAACCTCTGGCAGACACAACTTGTTAAGTTTATGAAGTACAGGTATCACAGCTCTTTCTCGATTGACTAAATTTTGATCTGGTTAATGACCTAAGTTTATATTAGACTGGATCAAAAACAAGTCAAATAGCAAAAGATGTGCTGCGGTACCTAAAAGAACCGTGTATATTTATCAAAGAGATCAGTAGGTGTCTGCATTATTCCCCACGTACTGGAAAACTTTAAAGCTTCAGTTCCGTACACTGCTTTGCATTAGTGGTAACTGTTTTTCAGAGCAGGCTTTAGAGATCGTCTGCATTGTTTATGTTATTTATTTTGGCCAGTTAGCTCTTTGTGGTATATTCCATCACAGTGGAAATTTTGTATTCCTTTATAATTCTGTTATTGATGCAGTTTAATGTGTGTGAATATACAAAATCTCCACTAAGTTACCGAGAAAATTGAATAAATGACCTATTTAAATTTAATATGTGGAATAGATGTGGAGTAGATTCTGGACAAAAATAGAGAAAACATAGAAACCTTTGAAGGAAAAGCATTTGTTTCCCATCTCTGTCACTGGTAAATGTGGCTGACTCATGCAAATTGCAATTATGGTGATTTAACAACAACAACAACAACATGATATATTGACTCTTGACAGATAGCTTCTAATGACTCTGCTAATAACATGCGTGAGTTGAATATTTTTAATATCGTCAACATATTGGAGGGAAAATATTTTCTCGAAACCTCAAAAAACAAACAAACAAACAAAAAAGCACAACTCTGTCATTCCTGAATCCTTTAAGAGATGTGAGTCATATAAATATCCCACATGTTTGGTGAAAATGAAAGTGTCAGCATGCAAATGAATGCGTTAATTAGCGCAGTTAATGGCATCATTTGTGTAATTGATGACATTTAATGATCATATAGCAGTTTAAGTGAGATACTGCATGGCTTGTCCTTCACAGAGCTCTTCTGTTTTGTTGCAATGTCCTGTGATACCCTTGAATAGCTTAACCATTGCAGGCAGCCTGAAATCTCTCTGCTGTGCGTTTTTTCAGAACAACAGGACAGTATGGCTACCACTGTCGCTGTCAGTCCCAGCGAATACCTTCAGCCCTCCTCTGCTTCAACACAAGTGAGTAGCAGCCACAAGCCTCGGCTGTGCACGCATGTTGCACTGTTGCAATCTCTTCTCTTACTGTTGCTCTTAACATCTGTTGTGTTCATATTGCTGCCATATCTTTGTGCTAATATACACTGTGTGTTTATTTTTCTGTAGAATTCCTTTGATGTTTAGTGCATTGTAAGCATTGAGTGTTTTTTAACCCTCAATTGCAAATCGCTGATGGAGTACTGTTGTTACCCTGCCTGGCGGGCAGTGTGGACACCTAAGTTTGTGAATGCGATAACTTGAGTGAATACCATAGGTGCATCTACTAAAAATCTCGGTGGTTAAGTTTTCTGAAAATCTTGTGAATGCAATAACTCGAGAACAAGGCCGCGTAGAATTTTGAAATTAACATACATACAAAAACGACACTGTGTAAGTTAAGATGTCATGATAAGTTTATTGTCAAATTTAAAACTGCTTTGACTGGAAAACCCCCCCAGAGACATTTAAACAAATGATAAAGAACCAGTCAACTGTTCTAACTTACCGCTGTTATCTGGACCCTTACGCCCACTAATTATGGATTATGGCAGCATTATCATTACTTTCTCAGATGAGGTTAGATCCAGATTCGGTGCTCTTGCACTAGTTTAGTTTGGAAATGGAAAAGCGGCCCTCACTTCTCTATGTGCCAGGATAGAGCTGATGTGCTATATTTTTCTAACAAAAACAATATATTCTACAAATTCAGTCACTGTTTTGCTTCGATGTTGATCAATATCTGAGAGACACAACTGCACAATTGGGAATTTAAATACTAATGACATCGCTTTGTGTCTTGCACCAGTAGTCACTAAACCTTTTTCACTTTTGTTGTATCAACCTTCTTAGTCCCAACTTAAACCCGTTTGTTGCCTCAAATACATGAAGCGGTCCAGTGTATATAAAGTGTGCTGAAGATGGCATTAATGTAGAATGCTTCCCTGTCCTGCAGCTTGATGATCACACATTTGGACCAAAGAGGGGCACAAAGGCATCGCAGGTGGAAACTCCTACACCTACTACACCACTTAATCGCTACTGATTATGATTCTTAATGTGTAGTTGTAGGCCTACCTGTTGGGTTGTGTTAACTTGTTTTGTTTTAGCTTTTGATCTGACTACTACCTCATCCTATCGTTCCCTTAGTGCTGAATTCTTCTTGTTCAGGCTGGTTTTAATGCAGGCTTGGACTATGTTTCTGTCTTCCCACAGGACACTCAGCCCTCTCCTTTGGCTCTGCTGGCTGCCACCTGCAGTAAAATCGGCCCTCCTGCTGCTCAGGCTCCTGTCACCTCTCCGCCAGCGCAGCCACAACCTCGCCGGCTCCTTCCTATAAAGCCAGCTCCAATAGCGCCAGCTCCACCGAAAAACCTTGGTTTCCTTTCAACAAAGGGCAATGTGATCCAGCTACCTGCTGGCCTGGGCTCCACAGCTCCTGGCAGCCCCATCGTCCTTACTATCCAGCAGAGTCCTGCTTGTACCGGCACCTCGGCCACTCCTGGCATCCAGTATCAGGTGGTGCCGCAGATCCAGGGTGCACAAACCATTCAAGTGATGCCACAGGGAGGTCAGATCCAGCTCATACCCGGTACCAACCAGGCCATCATTACCACTCCCATGACCATGCCGGCTCCGGCTGCAGCCACTGCTCCTGTCACGCCACAGAAGACCGTAGCCATCAAGCCCTCCCTCAAGGTGCGGAAGCCAAACAATACAGCTACAAACGTTGTGCAGCTGCCCAGTGGACTTACAATTCCCCTCAACGTGGCTACAGGGGAAGTGGGTGGGACACAAATCATCACAGAGACAGCTGCAGCCCCTCCCACTCCTGGAAAGGCACGACGAGGGAGGAAAAAAAAGGCAGTACTGGCTGCTGAGCCTCCACCGCCGCCTCCAGCACAGGCTGCCTCTCCAACCCCAGAGCAGATGGAGACCATCCTAATAGAAGCTGGTGATAACATCATACAGGTACCCCTATTTGTTATTGTTTCTGGTACTGAAAAGCATAAACAAAGGCACGATTTATTTGTTTTAAGTTAATCTTCAAACAGACTTAATGGTCCCCTTCTAAATATGTGTTCTCTTTGAACTGTCAGTGTTTTATTTAAAGTTTGTCAAATTATAACATTACGCAGACACAAGTTTGACATGTAAGCTAGTCTCGGCATCTACTCTCACTGCTCTTAGTCTAGCATTTACTGCATGTTAAGTAGAAGTCCCCAAATGCCATATATATTTAATTAATTATCAGTTATTTTATTTTTTAATTCTCTCTTTTTTGTTGAAAATAAGTGTAACTGATTCTGTTTTATCACAGAGTATACTTCTTAAGGTTTGTGCTCCTGTAATACAAGCCGGGCTTGAGCACTGGGACTTTTTGATCTTAATAAAAATGTATGTATGCTAATGAATGTTAATAACCTGCTGTTCCTGTTATCATTTTTTTGTGAGGAGTCAAAAAAGAAGAAAAAAAACCAGGAAACTGTCAACTGTTTTACATCTTCAGAAGCGTCTGCTTCCTAATTAGCCTCAGGACAGTTTCAGTTTTGGGCAGGCAGTTGTTTTATGGTACAAAGCTTGTTTCTTTTTTTGTTTTTTTTTTTTTTTTTTACATTTGTGATGTGTTCTTCTGCCACCAAATGGTTAAAACAAAAAGTCTTTTTAGTGTTACAACCACTTTTTGTTTTTCACGCTCAAAGGGTTCCCTGTGACATAAATATACTACCAAAGCGAGTAAATGTGTGTGCAGTTCAGATTGATAAAATCCGCAGTTAAACAGAAACCACAATATTGTTATCGAGTTTGAAATTCTACTTTGAAACACTCAACCCAGTCTATAGCTAACTGTTAAATGAATGTTTAGCCTTTCAGTGTGGTCAAAACATTGAAGATGTTGGCTAAAGCCTACGTATGAGGATTACTGGTCAGCTTCTTCTCTCTATATTCACAGGCAGGGAACAATTTACTGATTGTGCAAAGTCCTGGGCAACCTGCTATGGTGCAACAGGTCCAGCTGGTCCAGCCCAAACCAGATTCTCAGGTGGTTCAGATCCCACAACAGGCTTTGAAGGTGGTACAGGCTGCCTCTGCTACGTTGCCACCCGTCCCGCAGAGACAGTCTGTCTCCTCGAATCTGCAGGTCACTCCAACAGAAACATCACCAACGCAGGTATCTGTTCAGGCTTATTGTTTCTTTAACTCTTAATATTTTTAGTCTGTTGTGTCAGGAAAGGCATCCAGTGTAAAATTCTGCTAAATCAATATCTAGCACTACCTGCTGAGGTAACTCCTTGTAAATAAGGAAGCAGCTGAAAATGACTTCTTCTGTTTATTATGAATACCTCAGGAACGGTAGCAAAGGACCATGTGACATTTTTACAACTAAGCTAGCAACATGTCAAAGTCATATATAAGATAATATAACAGTTTAACTAGGAATTAGTTTAACATTTTAAGTAAACTTAGTGATATTTTTTTCCCCAGATTCTCTTTAAAACAGCATCAGGTGAATGGCAATCGGTTCAGCTTCAGGACTCCATGACAACAACAACCCCTGCCACCACAGTTGCCCCTACCACCACTGTCGCACCACCAGCTGGCTCCAAGAGAACACAAGCTACCGGAGGACGAAAGGAGCGGACCTTGGCAAAAATTGCCCCTGCAGGTGGAATGATACAATTGAACACATCGCAGCTCACCTCAGCAGCACAAGCAGTGCAGACCATCAGCATCAACGGGGTCCAAGTTCAGGGAGTTCCTGTTACCATCACCAATGCAGGCGGTGAGCTGATGCTAGATGCTTTGGGTTTGTTTGTTTTTTTTTCTTCAAGCTTTCCACTGGCTGTTTATAGAGCCAATGTTATTGTCTAGTACTACTGATAAATACACTGGGGTGTTTATTTGTAAAGAAGCGTCGGTCAGACTCGTCCATAACAATGTGAGAGGCTGATAGTTATACAGAAAACAATTACTTCATGTTATTGCTGCTAAAGACATTCACTGAGAATAGAAGCACTGCTCCTCCACATTGAAAAATGATTTGACCGTCTGATGAGGATGCTTTATCGATGCCTCTGAAGTGGGGTGTTTTGGGCATCTCCTACTGGAAAGAGGCCTCAGGTCAGACCCAGGTCTGGTGTTAAAGATAGCAGACCTGGGTCTGAGAGAGTTTATATCTGTTGGCTGGCTTGGGGATGACTCTTTGTCTGTCCAGATGAAGAAGAGATGGCTGGGGTGAGGGAAGTCTGCTGCCCCTCCAACCCAAACCCAGATAAGCAGTCAAACGGATGGATAAAATAACTTTATCAGTTGTCAGTTATTTATGTTAATAAAGAATAATGTTGACCTTTTCCTCAGTCAAAGAGCAAAAGCAGCTGAAAGTTTGCAATGTGTTTAAAAACTCTAAAACAAAAATGAAATTTTATTTTGCAACATATAGCTTTCGCATCTTAATTTATTGTTGATTAGAATTTCAGTTCACTGATGGCAGTAAACTGAATTATCCAGCTCCTGCAGAAGCCCTGCTGTTTGTCTTACAATGAGTCTCTGCGTTTGTTAGGCCAGCAGCACCTAACGGTGCAGACCATGCAGGGTGGAGGGCTCCAGCTGGCCGCAGCACAGGGCCAGCCTGCTATTCAGGTAGACCAGACCCTCACCCTGGAGTTGCCTGGCCAGCCAGGAGAAAAGAAACGACGCATGGCCTGCACTTGCCCCAACTGTAAAGATGCAGACAAGAGGTGAGTCTGTCAAAGGATGGGTTGGGATCAGTTCTACATTTTGGGAAGTTCATATTATACTTTTTAGCACTCAGACTATTAAAACTCTCATACTGATAAAGGGTTTGAATTTTGTTCACTGTTTAGACCCAGTGAGGTGGGAAAGAGGAAACACATCTGCCACGTCCCTGGCTGTGAAAAGACTTTTAGGAAAACATCTCTGCTCAGAGCTCATGTCCGGCTGCACACTGGTGAAAGACCCTTCGTCTGCAACTGGGTTTTCTGTGGGAAACGTTTCACGCGCAGTGACGAGCTGCAGAGGCACGCCAGGACGCACACAGGTGCTCTGGACACAAACAAACAGAATCATCAAATCACTCTGTATTAAACTTCACTTCACATACAGAGGAAAAATAGGCACACAGAGTTGCTAAATACACTTAAAAACTTAACAATCCAGACATTTTTACAAATTATGTTTTTAAAAACACCTATTGTTTCTTCATTATTGAACGTGCATTAAAAATATTACTCAATACATTTTTTTCCCTCCCACAGGAGACAAGCGCTTTGAGTGCAGCCAGTGTCAGAAACGCTTCATGCGGAGCGACCACCTGACAAAGCATTACAAGACTCACATAAACACCAAGAACTTGTGAGCAGACGGTATACAGATACAAAAACTCAGAAAGTAACTGTGTTACAGGAAGGATGGGCAGTGGAGATGAGACCAAGGGATTGTGCTTGTGACTTATCCCACAATGGGAAACTCTCCAGAATGAAATGCTTGATTCCCTGTCACTCTTCAAGGACACTGTGTAGCGTGGTGTACAAAGGAACCCTTCCTGGTGGACTTCAAACTTTCAGCAAATTTATTGACCATTTTTTAAACATTTTTTTTCCCCATTTGGTCTGAACATGTGGACAGATTACTGTGACTGAATTTGTAAGGTAAAAATGCTTTAGATTTAAATGCTTAACTCTGCTAGATTATTTATGAACTCCTCTACTTCTCTGGCGGAAGAACATATACAGATTTTTTTTTTTTTTTACTTTTAGAAAACCCAACATCATCAGTCTCTTTTATATTGTTTTTTCTTCTACCACAAAAACCTTCATACTCTTTATTACAGAATATTAAGAAATTTCAGAAATTGAGGGTGAGCCCCCCCCCAGTAATGTAAAAATAAATCACAAAAAACCAAACAGACCACAATTAAGGAAGTGCTGGAGCTATAACAGTATATCATTTCTGTGAGCTCTGGTAGGTCCCTGGCTACCAGTAGTGATCTAAATGCAGCAATATGATGCGATCTGCAAAGTTGGCTAATGTTGGGAATTGTGTTGGGAAATTGATTGTTTAAATTTAAGGAAGGGTAATTAATTAGAAAATATAATATACTCCAAGAATTAGTCCTTGTGGAACACCAAAGTAAAGAGGATGGAGTTTTGTAAACCATGAAACGGATAAAGGAAAAGCAGAATCTAACCTCTTTAAGCCACAAAGAGGAAGCTGTTGCTAAAGATGTGGAGGAAACATATTAAGTATCTTAAAATTCAACAATGAAAATTTACACACTGCTCATGGTGGCTCCAGGTGTTTCCTCTGTTGAGTTGAGACAGTTGGTGCTCTTTTATCATGAGTTGTGTGTAATAGATGAAATGTTTGAGAGTGTACCATTGTTCTTTTCAAGTTTATCAGGAAAATGTCTGATAGTTATGTATTTATACTACCTAAAATTCTCTACCTTTACACAGGCACTGCAAGAAGTTTCAAATATCAGGAAAATTAAATAAAATTGTTAAAGGCTGGTGAGATGGCCCAGAAATGCATAGAAAGACTTTTGCTGATGAGCTAAGTTTTACTGAGTTTAGACGCTAAAGATTTAATTTGGTGAAATATTAGCAGTAAGAAGAGTTGATAACTCAAATGCAAAACATGCTCTTGCATCTGTGGTCCACACTTTGTTTCTACATAGTTGGTTATTTACCATGTATAACAAGACATGTACACTTACTTCTAGGGCTGTGTATCAGATTGCCATTTATTTTTGTATAGCTCCTGAAGTTTAGCCATCCAGTCATTAATCACATTAGTTCCAAGTCAAACCAGTCTTAGTTTTAGATTGATTTTATTTGAGTTCTTAAATGGTTGCATGTTCATAGTTGACAACTAACTTTGACAAACTTAATGATTTCTGCTTCTTTTATTACCTGTTTTTAACCTGAATAGTTCAAGTTTCATCGTGGCAGGAAACATGTTCACCCTTCTCAAACTAAAGAACCTAAAAATTTGGTACCTCCAACACTTTCTCCCAGTTTACTCATTTAAAAAACGAACAAAACTACACTTTAGTCTTTCTTTCATTGTTCAGATTTGATGAATTGTAGCCTATGCATTGCTGTATATAAGATCAGACTTTTAATTATTTGGCCTGACTTGACAATCATGTCACAAGATGCAAAAAAACAGGAAAAAATAAAGCTTTCTCAGGCCTTCTATGAGTTACACAATGTTTTCCAGCTATATGATGGCTTTAATTCTAAATTAACACTTAAGATGTTTTTGTGATGTACAGATGACCAGCATTAGCCCTGCTGCACAGTACTGATATAACTTTCTTTAATCTCATTTGTTTTACAGAAAATGTACATTTGCTCAGTGATTTTGATGTTATGAAGATAAGCTGACCGTTTTCTAACAAGTCAGCAGTGAGTTTGAAGCCTGAAATTGCCGGGGAGTTATTTAAAGAAGTACATTAAGTCATTGCTTAACAAGGTTTTTTTTGGTCAAATTATCCAGCAGAGCAGCTTCACAGTGAGGTTTGTTTCTGGTAGATGGTGCAGGCTTGCTACAGGTTGTGCAAAGCAGAGAAATTTGACCAAAAAAGCTCAAGTCCGATTTGTTTTCAAAGCACTTTGAACAAAGTGCTTTAAAAAGGTGACGTTGAGAGAGAGAGAGACAGAGGCTGCTCATATTTATGTTTGTATTTCATGAGTGAATATGTAAATAAAACGTGTCTGTCAGACACGGTAAATGTAGGATATTAAAAATTGGTAAGCTGCATAGTTTTGTGGTTGGCGTAGCCAGCCTTGAAGGAAGTGGACTTTGTACAGTGTTTTAAGGAAAAAAACATATATATGTGACATTGTATAGCTTCATTCCTGCTTTGTATAAGACTTCTAGATCTTTTTTCTATGAATTAAAGATGCCTTAGACAGCTGCACCCAGTATTTAAAGATGTTTTTTTTTCTTTCTAATTCCAGGTAACAACATTTGTAAAATTTTGTTTTGTGTTTTTAACTTATGTTACATGCTAATGTCATGTGCACTGATTAAACTCCCAGGTTCCAAAATTTGTAAATTTAATGTTGATTGTAATTAAATATAATGTGTTTTTTCCCCTGAATTAAGTCATTTCTGTTGCTTGGTTTCTGTGAATGAAATGCTTCTTCTCCAAGCCTATATGTCATAAAGTGTTCTACAAACCTTTTTTTGTGTATATCAGGAGAACCAAGAGAACCAGCAATTAATTTTCTAAGTTGTATAAAGGTGCTAAAACATAGTTTGCTCCTTTTCTACCATCACCCCCCCTCAATAAAGAACTCATACCTTATCAACTGCGTCACTCTTTTTAACTTTCATTTTGGGACTAATAATAGATTAATTATATTCATACTTAATGTGATTATTGTTTGTCAGGAATAGAAGGATAATCGTGGTCTTTGTGTAAATAAATCACAACCAAGCACATATTTTTTTATGCCTGGTAGGCTGTAACAGCCTTATTTGGATAATTAAGCCTTATAGAAGCATCATTACTGATTTTAGTGCCATAACAATTTTAAAAAAAATAATTTTTAAAGAAATTCTATATCATAACATGAGAACACTCTACTAATGGTCAAGTCAAATAAGTTTATACACAGATTTCTCAAGGTTGATCTATATTTCTGTTTTGAAAAAAACATTTAATGACTTTGAAATCCGGGTTTGTTGTTGCTCCCATGAGTTTTTGAATTATTGTTAATATTATTTTATTATTAGTCATCATCAGTTTTATTATTAGTAGTAGCAGTAATAGTAGAATTAGTATCAGCATTTATTTGTACTGTGTTTTTTTTCATCGAGCATTTATTTTGAAAAGCTCTTTGTACTCGTCATCAGCAATCAACAGATCCATTTCCTGTTAGCTAGATGACAGCCGGTAACATTTAAAGTCCTGTGGTCTAAATGCTCTTAAATTAGTTGTATGTCGACTTGTATTTATAGTTGGTCTAGCTCGCTAAAGTTTCTATTTACATAGTGCATGCGGTAACATCAAAAAACTTAATAGCGTAATATTCCGTTACCTAAGCTAGTTTGCTAGCCTAATTTGTTTACATTAGTGTGAGGGTGTTTCAGTCAGGAAGACCGGATAAATGTGCCTGTCTGTCGTTCCATGTTTCTTTTTGCTTCGTCACTCCTTAAAGGTTAGTGCTGTGAATGTTGGAGCAACAACACCTAAAAAATTGCAACAAATTGTATGTTAACGTTTTTTAATCCAGAGTTGTTAACTTGCCCCTTAAACTTCTTGAAGGGCTCACACACAACAGAGACTGTACTATAACAACAGGTCTTTCACGAAAGGTTTATTTGGTAAACAATCTGGTAAACAAGGAAACACGAATGTTACAGAAAACATTAAAGCCTTACATTTTCTTTGCAGTTAGGTGCATAAATGAACCGCTAATGAGTCTAGATGATTCTGTCACAGGCATAAAATACATAGTTATGGAAAGAGTCTAGCTGCATTTTATATCCTTAATGTAACTGTGTACTTGGATTTGAACATTTCAGAATGAAATATGAAAAGTTCTTGATCAAGCTAAGGATGACCATAGCTTGTATTTCAAAATAACACAAATTTCCATAAATTTCCACAACCTTAAAAAAACCCTGAAATAGATAAGAGGCTAAAAAAATAGATGGATGCCCCTTTTTTTTCTTGCAATAAAATTAATCATACAGGACTATTGCCTAAACTATAATCCGGTTATTTATTATACTGTTTTTATACTGCCATTTTTCAAACTTTGGCTTTGGGAAAATATGTTCACTTTCATTAGGCGTGCACAGATTACAAAATTCAGGGATATAGCTGTGTTTAAAATTTAGCTGATAGCTGCTGTTAGTACATTAGTTCTTGTTTATTTTGTAGTTTTATCACCTTTTCATTACTGAAATTATCTGTACTGTCTTCAACCCAGGGATTTATGAATAAATATGTGAATTATTGAACCTGGATCTCAGAAAAATGGACTGCAGAATTGACGGGACATAACAGATGATCAGTGGCCTCTGCCAATGGTAAAATGTTGTCTTATTTACTGATAGGAAGATGATGATAGTGCCAACAAATTGTTGTATTCTTCTTCTTTTTAAAAAAATAATGTTTTCTAGAATAATAACTACCCTGTGGGTTTTCTTTGAAACACCCTTGTTACCTTTTTTAAAAGTTGATAAATAATATTATTTTTTCCTCTACAGATAATTTTTAGAATGACAGCAGTCAAGTAGGAAGAAGGATGAATGACTTTGGGCCAACAGACCTGATTGCAGGCCTCTGTCATACAGATGAAGAGGATCCTCTTCCTCTGTGGCAGAATGAATGCATCAGCCCCTGTTTTAACCAGCTCATCCTTGGTGTCTTGCCCCATGCTGGGATGGCCATTTTCAGTGCCTGCTACCTCAGCATGTCAAGGTAGGTCATGCATTGATACCAGGTCCTTATCAACAACACTTTTCCAATCTTGCAATTTTATTAGCGGATAATGAAGTTGTAGTTACAAAAAAACATGCATATCAATCCTTGCAGTGGATTTTCTGATGAAGTATGTTTTACTTTAATGTAACAACAATTCTTTAAAAACAAGCAACTCCCCCCCATCTTTTTTGGAGTCTTCTCTGAGTTGTCCAGTTTTTGGCTAAATTCAAAATGCGCAGCTTAATCATCGAATGGGGCACCCTATAAAACTAATGCCGATGATTCTAAAAATTGTGTCTATATTTTCACATTTTTGTTTGCTTTGCAGATGCAGCCACCTCCAGACGTCTCCCCCGTGTGGCTGGACACTCAGGCTCGTGTCAGCTCTGCTGGCTGCCTTACTCTACACTGCAGATGTCATCCTGGTGAGTGTCCTCCAGCAGGGAGACATGTACCTGGACATCCTAGCTGGCAGCTGTGCAATCCTGGCCTGGCTGGTCCACTTCAGTGTCATAACAGTGCTCCAGAGGACTGTTTTTAAGAGAACCAGAGGACCAACACTGCTGCTTCTCCTGGTGCTTCTGTTACTCCCCAACCTTGTCATCAACTTGATAATTTACTCTAACAACAAGGAATATTTAAACCCAGCTGAACCTCTTAAACTGGCCCGATTTGTTCTTGCCTCAGTACGGACATTTCTTTTTCTCATTTACCTCCTGGCATTTGCTTTCCCCTGCATCAGTGATGCTGGGTACACTTTGTATATTAACGATGTTGATGGCTCTCCGCTCATCCCAGAGAACACCCAGCTGGAGACTGGGGAGATTGTGGCTGAGGATGGGAGTGACTGCCTATCTCGACTCTTCTACTTGTGGCTCACCCCTCTCCTCAGGCGAGGGCAGAGATGGGAACTGGACAGACCAGCCGATGTATATCACCTTCCCCAGAAACTTAGAACTAGTGTGATTTGTCGGTATTTTCACCAGTGCTGGGAAGCCTGCTGGCAAGGATCACCAGTCACTTACCAAGAGGATCAATGGCCCACACCAGTCAGCACAAACCTCCCAAGTGGCAGCTGGAGTTTACACAACCAGGACCAACCACTGGAGCTGGAAGGTGATGTAAGATTGCTGAAGGTGCTACACAAGGCGTTTGGGAAGTGGTATTACATCCTTGGTCTGCTGAAGGTGACAGTCAACATATTGAGCTTTGCAGGTCCACTGCTCCTCAGTAGTCTTGTGAATTTTATGGAGGATAAAGGTGCCCCAGTCAGCAGGGGTGTCTGGTGTGCCTTGGGGCTCTTTGCTACCACCCTGCTGTGCTCTGTTCTACGAAACATCTTTGTCTTCGAGGTCTCCAAGGTGGCGCTGTCAGCACGAGCTGCTCTTGTGACGGCCATCTACAACAAAGCCCTGAGAGTCAGCAGCTGCAGCTTGGCTGGCTTTACTTTAGGAGAGGTGGTGAACTTAATGAGCACAGACACCGACCGTGTGGTTAACTTCTTCCAAAGCTTCCATGAGCTGTGGAGCCTGCCCTTTCAGTTAGCTGTCACCCTTTACTTGCTATATCTGCAGGTGGGTGTAGCTTTCCTTGGAGGACTGTCCGTAGCTTTGCTGCTGGTGCCATTCAACAAGTTCCTTGCTTCCTGCATCCTTAGCAACAATAAAAAGATGCTCATGTGGAAGGATAACCGTGTTAAGGTATGGCATGTTTAAGCTCTTATTACACTGAGTTGATTTATATACTTTTATGAAGCTACCCAGGGAAAAAATCTTGTTGAGATTATTTTTAATTTTGAACTTATTTCCAGTTAATGACAGAGATCCTCTTCGGCATTCGCGTCATCAAGTTCTATAGCTGGGAGCCTCATTTCACACAGAAGGTGGCTGACTGTCGCAAAGAGGAGCTGTCCCACCTTAAGGCTGTCAAATACCTGGATGCATTGTGTGTGTATACCTGGGCTGCTCTACCTGTGGTCATCTCCATCCTGACCTTCGTCACGTATGTGCTGCTTGGACACCAGCTGACGGCAGCAAAGGTAAACTGGCTGCTGTGTTGATGCTGAGTGAGCTTTGTAGAGAATTAGGGAATGTAGGGTTACTGTATAAACATATTTAAAAAAATAACTCTGACAAGAGCAACACCTGAGATGCTGGAGTGGTGGAGGGGTTGAAAAGAGGGGAGCTGCTGAGGCGGGGGGGGGGCTGGGAGGAGAAGTTGGCCGTCCGACTGGGGTCTGGAATGTGGGGCCTCCTTGCTGCTGCTGCCGAGCCGGGGCAGTCTGCTTCTCTCCACCCCAGGGAAAAGGGTAACATTACCTGGGTCTTGGTGCAGTTTCCCCCTCCAGGGGCAAGGGTACCTAGACCCGGTTTGTAGAGTACGCTTGGGGAGTGTGATCGTGTGTACAGCGTCTCTTTATGTCTGTCTCCACGTTGGTTGAGTGTGGAGTAAGTGCATATGAGAGCATGAGGGTGGGAATGGATGTTTGTGTCTGTGTGTGCCTGTATGTCTGTGTCTATATGTCAGGTTGGGTATCAGACGCCACCTCTCTGGGGACATCTCAGGCCCTCCAAGGTTTGGAGGCCTATCTCCCCCCAACACTCCCCCTGCCAGTGGCAGACGCCCTCAGACATCGGTGCGTTGGTGGTTCTTTGTGTCTGGGGATGGGCGTCCGGATACCCACCGGCTCACTCCTTGGTGGCTGCTTGTCGTGGTCTCTCGGCCTGGGGCTCGGTCACTCAGGCACGGCTGGCTGCCGGCGGAGCTCACGGGCGCGTCACTGCAACCCCCCTGGCTTCTGCTCCACGGCTGCTGAGTGAGCCCTCATCTGGGGCTCTCCTCAGCTCTTTCTGGGATGGTGGCGCAGCTGC